GTTTTTATGAGGATAGTGAGGCTTTAGGTTAGGGTGTGTAGAAGAGAGGGAGACTACTTCCCGTAAAAGTAGGTCTTAGACAGGGATGTGTAATGTCACCATGGTTGCATAATATATTTATAGATGGGGTTGTAAAAGAAGTGCTAGGGTGTTTGGGTGAGGGGTGGGATTAAATTATGGGGAATCAAATTCAAAATGGGAATTAACACAGTTACTTTTTGCTGTGATACTGTGTTTATGGAGATTCTAAAGAAAAAATTGCAAAGGTTAGTGGATGAGTTTGGGAATGTGTGTAAAGTAGAAAGTTGAAAGTGAACATAGAAAAGAGTAAGGTAAGAGGGTATCAAATGATTTAGATAAAGAAAAATTGGATATCAAATTGGGGGAGGAGGAGTATGGAAGAAGTGAATGTTTTCAGATACTTGGGAGTTGACGTGTCGGCGGAGGGATTTATGAAGGATGAGGTTAATCATAGATTGATGAGGAAAAAAGGTGAGTGGTGCATTGAGGTAATGTGGAGTCAAAAAACGTTATCTAGGGAGGCAAAGAAGGGAATGTATGAAAGTATAAGTAGTACCAACACTCTTATAGGGGTGTGAAGCTTGGGTGGTAAATGCAGCAGCGAGGAGACGGTTGGAGGCAGTGGAGATGTCCTGTCTAAGGGCAATGTGTGGTGTAAATATTATGCAGAAAATTCGGAGTGGGGAAAAATTAGGAAAAGGTGGGGAGTTAATAAAAGATTTATCAGGGGCAAAGAGAGTTGTTGAGGTGGTTTGGTCATTTAGAGAGAATGGATCAAAGAAGAATGCATGGAAAGCATATAAATCTATGGGGGAAGGAAAGCCAGGTGGGGGTCGTCCTCGAAAGTTTGGAGAGAGGGGGTAAAGGAGTTTTGTGGGCAAGGGGCTTGGACTTCCAGCAAGCGTGCGTGAGCGGGGTTAGATAGGAGTGAATGGAGACGAATGGTACTTGGACCCGACGATCTGTTGGAGTGTGAGCAAGGTTTAAATTTAGTGAAGGGATTCAGGAAACCGGTTATTTTCATATAGTCGGACTTGAGTCCTGGGAAATGGGAAGTACAATGCCCGCACTTTAAAGGAGGGGTTTGGATATTGGCAGTTTGAAGGGATATGTTTTTGTATCTTTATACGTATATGCTTCTAAGCTGTTGTATTCTGAGCACCTCCCGCAAAAACAGTGATTATGTGTGAGTGTGGTGAAAGTGTTGAATGATATGAAAGCAAATTTTTTTTTTTGGGGATTTTCTTTCTTTTTTGGGTCACCCTGCCTCTGTGGGAGACGCCAACTTGAGAAAAAAAATTATATATATATATATATATATATATATATATATATATATAAAATATATATTATATAAAGGTATAGAGAATTTAACTTAAAAGATCTTCATACTAGAGGTCCGAGACTTGTTGATTAAAATTCTGAAGTCTACATATTAGAAGACAAAGTCGTATATCAGTGTCTCTTATGAACATACGAAAGAAGGAGCCCTGCAGCAGTCCTGTTGGCCCATGCTAGGCAGGTCCAACTCACACCCACAGCTACGAGGATTTCGTAAAGGCACATGAAACAACATTTCGTTAAAAGGAGAAGAATCATAATAATGAAGGCTATAAATTGTTATATCTTTCCATCTCTTCCGCCTCAATAATAATGAACAATAATTCTATCTACTCTAATCACAAAACTAATATTTATTATAACACTGGCCAGCAAAATAAAATTTTTAGCCAGTTCTCAAACCAAATTCGTTGTTTTAAGTTAATTTTAATTCGCTGATCACAAATCAGAGGTTCAGTTATCAATAATAATTCATATATTGGCTATTTAAGATCGAAGATCCACATAATTTATATAACCTAACAATCATGGGTATTGTACTATGCATAGATATTAAGTTTGTGGAATTCAATGACAGACTAATTCCTGACGTAAATTCATTATATGCATAGGTAATTATATATACATTATATATATTATATAATATAATATTATATATATATTTTATATATATATATATTTTTATATATATTATATATATATATATATATATATATATATAATGACGTGCCGAATAGGCAGAACTTGCGATCTTGGCTTAAATAGCAACGCTCATCTTGCCATATAGGACAAGCGAAAATTTGTGTATGCAATTATTTCGCCAAAATCATTCTGAACCTAACGAAAAAAAAATTGATTGTATTTGTTTAGTACTAAATTATTGTAAACGTATTTAAAATATATTTAGTTGGGTTAGGCTAAAATAAATTGCTCTTGTTATAATAAGTTTAGGTAAGTTTTCTAAGATTCGTTTGGTGCAAAATTAAAAAAAAATTACATTAACATTAATAAAAAAAATACATCTTTAAATGTATAAGAGAAAATTTTAGAAAGGACTTAATTTTAAATGAGTTCTTGCTAATTGACCAGTTTTACATATTCGGCACGACATGTATAATATATATATACCGGCGGATAAGGTGCAAGAGCATATAATAAGCTCTTGTAACATTAGTAAACAACTGCTCAAGCGTAATCCAAAGCCTACCCTTAACCCTGACCTTGAGCATATAAGGCGCAGGGTAATTTTTCAAGATTTTTTTGAGGGAAAAGTGCGCCTTACATGCCGAGAAATACAGTATAATAAAATTCCAGTCAAACATTTGCATCTCAGTTTTCAGATTATGTAATCTGAGTGTAGGTCTCCCGAACCAGTGTCCAGCAGTAGTCGATCCTCAAACTGGTCGTCAGGTGTCCCTTATATCTCTTCTCCATAATGGCTGCGCCTTTGTGAATCTGTTTACCGTGAGGCTCTACTTCACACAAACTATACGTGTTGGAGCAAATTCAAATCTGAACTTAGTTCAGATTTGAATTCAGCGTCCCCAAACAAGTTAGAAGCAAATTTTTGTGTGTGAATGGAGTTCTTTGCGGCCAAGTGTAGTAATTACAATTATATTCACTGGGAAACAACCTGTCTCCATCACAGAACTCCTGGAGAATGGGAGATTATCGTGTTCGTTCCGAGGATGACGCTGTTAACTCAATTTCCTTACATCAAGAGACCTTCATCGACCTCATGGCACTCCTTTCGACGGGAGCGAGACCAGTAAGCTGCTAAAAACCACAAATCGTATCATCACATGTTTTAACTAAAAACAAAGTTCCTGAGAGGATAACCAACTATGGATTTAATCAGATGTAATATTCAATATTAAATGGCTCTTAATCACTAACCATGAAAATAATGCCAAATAACCACTTTACTAATGATATCACATTAGTAAACTGTAGAACCTCCAGTCACTTTACTGTGTTGTAGAACCACTAATCATAATCACAAGATGTAAGATCCCCAATCGCAATACCAGATATAAGATCATCAATCACAATCCCAAGTTGTAGGAACACCAGTCACAGTACCAAGATACAAAACCACCAATTACAATACCAAGATGTATGACCACCAATCACAATACCAAAATGTAAGACCACCAATCACAATACTAAGATGTAAGACCCCCAATCACAATATCAAGATTTAAGACCAGACCACCGATCACAATACCAAGATGCGTGACCACCAGTCACAGTATCAAGATATATGACCACCAATCACAAAACCAAGATGTAAGACCACCGATCATAATACCAAGATGTATGACCACCAATCACAATACCAAATGTAAGACCACCAATCACGATACCAAGATGTATGACCACTAGTCGCAATGCTAATAAGATATGAGCCACCAGTCACAGCTCTGGCGAAGTTAAAAGATCACTAAACAATATTAGTGACCTATACGGCCTGACCTCTACTGAACAATACAATTGAATTTGATCATCAAGATATATTAATCATCTACGCGATAATAACTTTCTTGCCACGGTGACCGGTAGCCGATATAGCAAATTCATTCTCATATAATTAGGAACGGTAATAAGTATTTTTTTTCTATATAGTGTAAGTGAGACTATGGAGTCTAGAAGAGCCTGAAAAATGGGAGGGAAATCAGAGTTGATGGTGAGAAACAACGCTGATGAGGAACAAGCTCTTGTTTTGTAGTTGCTGTTATTGGCTCGTCTCGGAGCCAAACTTACACTGTAGAGCTTTATCAAAGTATGTTTCACTGTGTAGAGCTTTATCAAACTTTCACTGTGTAGAGCTTTATCAAAGCATATTTCACTGGGTAGAGCTTCATCAAACTTTCACTGTGTAGAGCTTTATCAAACTGTTTCACTGTGTAGAGCTTTATCAAACCATGTTTCACTGTGTAGAGCTTTATCAAACCATGTTTCACTGTGTAGACCTTTATCAAACCATGTTTCACTGTGTAGAGTTTTATCAAACTGTTTCACTGTGTAGAGCTTTATCAAACCATCTTTCACTGTGTTGAGCTTTATCAAACTATGTTTCACTGTGTAGAGCTTTATAAAACCATGTTTCACTATGTAGAGCTTTATCAAATTATGCTTCACTGTGTAGAGCTTTATAAAACCGTGTTTGTGTAGAGCTTTATCAAACTATGTTTCACTGTGTAGAGCTTTATCAAACCATGGCATAACAAAGCACTAGAAGGACAGTTGCCAACAAAAGCTTATTCGGCAACACATTTCAATTTTCCTAATATTGTCTACAGTACGCAAATCAAATACAGTCTGGTTTGATCAGAGGAAGTAAAGAGTAGCTCAATTCTCTTGGATCAAGAGCCTGTAACTAGAATCAAGGCACTCAATGATAGTAATAAGTCGAGATAACAACAGTAAAAAAAACGAAAACAGTGAAAAAAAAAGATTAAAGGGAGGATAATGAATATGAGGGATGCTAGAAAACAATAAATATAGAATTGAGGAATAACAATAAATATAGAATTGAGGAATAACAATAAATATAGAATTGAGGAATAACAGCATAGAAGGATAAATATAGAAGATAGATTGCAATCACGTAAGGGAGACTTAAAAATATTCTTTACCTGCCACTCGTAACAAAAGCATAACAGCGAGAGAGCATGTTACTGTTCTGTTTGTTCCCAAGCCAGCCTCCATCCTCAGGTGTTCAGCTGCATGTTCACTTGTTCACCTTCATGGCTACTTGCTCAGCATTATCTTCACTCGTTCACCAATCTATGTTTAAGGGGAGAGGGGCTTCACCCTCGTGTTCACTTGTTTAACAGTTCCCATCGTTCTCTTGTTCCATAGCAGTATTTACAGAGTTCTTAGTGTGTCCAAGACATTTCTCGTAAGCATGGATATTTCAGTCACATTATTATTATTATTATTATATTCACAAATTATTAAATTTGTCTGTGAGGAATGGGATGTACTATAATCCAGGTAAATTAATTATTTCAGCTATGCAGAGTCAAGTTGATTTAACCACAGTATGTGAGAAAAATAAATTAATTAGTCAGCTCTGAGTATGTAATAATTGCCTAGTAATCCATGTACTTGAGTGAGAAATCAGCAAGAATGTATACAAGAGTATGCATACACAGTGTGGTATGCACAGATGTATTAACAATGCGGTGTTCACGGGAGAGGAGTGCCACTGTTGAGTATCTATGCCAGGCCTCCTGCGCTGGCGACCTCCAGACCGGTACTGATGCCTCAGTCTGCCTGCTGGTGTTGCTGGCTCCCCGTGCCTCAGGGATGTGCTCCACCACCCACAACCCCCAAGGCTCTGTGACCTGGCTTGCCCACACCCACTCAAATCAGCACACACACCCAGGGTAGATCAAGGCCATGGTAAACCATACCCAGGGCAGATTACATCCTTGGTAAATCACACTCAAGGTAGATCACAGCCATGTTAAACCACACCCAGGGAAGATCACAGCCATGGTAAACCACACCAAGGGTAGATCACAGCCATGTAAATCCACACCCGGGGTAGATCACAGCCATGGTAAACCACACCCAGGGCAGATCACAGCCATGGTAAACTACACCAAGGGTAGATCACACCAAGGGTAGATCACACCCAGGGTAGATCACACCTAGGGTAGATCACACCTAGGGTAGATCACACCTAGGGTAGATCACACCTAGGGTAGACCACAATCAGAGTAGATCACAACCACAGTAGATCACAACCACAGTAGATCACAACCACAGTAGATCACAACCACAGTAGATCACCATCACAGTAGATCACAACCATGGTAAACCACATCCAAGGTAGATCACACCCAGGGTAGACCACACCTAGGGTAGACCACACCTAGGGTAGACCACACCTAGGGTAGATCACACCTAGGGTAGACCACAATCAGAGTAGATCACAACCACAGTAGATCACAACCACAGTAGATCACAACCACAGTAGATCACAACCACAGTAGATCACAACCACAGATCACAACCACAGTAGATCACAACCACAGTAGATCACAACCACAGTAGATCACAACCATGGTAAACCACACCCAGGCTAGATCACAGCCATGGTAAACCACACCAAAGGTAGGTCACACCCAGGGTAGATTACAGCCATGGTAAACCACACCCAGGGTAGATCATAACCATGGTAAACCACACCAAAGGTAGGTCACACCCAGGGTAGATCACAGCCATGGTAAACCACACTCAGGGTAGATCACAGCCATGTTAAACCACACCCAGGGTAGATCACAGCCATGTTAAACCACACCCAGGGTAGATCACAGCCATGGTAAACCACACCAAGGGTAGGTAACACCCAGCGTAGATCACACCCAGGGTAGATCGCACCTAGGGTAGATCACAACCAGGGTAGATCACACCTAGGGTAGATCAAAACCAGGATAGATCACAACCAGGGTAGATCACAACCAGGGTAGATCACAACCAGGGTAGATCACAACCAGGGTAAACCACAACCAGGGTAAACCACACCTAGGGTAGCTCACACCCAGGGTAGCTCACACCCAGGGTAGCTCACACCCAGGGTAGATCCACACCAGGGTAGATCACACCCAGGGTAGATCACACCCAGGGTAGATCACACCCAGGGTAGATCACACCCAAGGTAGATCACACCCAAGGTAGATCACACCCAGGGTAGATCACACCCAGGGTAGATCACAACAAGGGTAGATCACAACAAGGGTAGATCACACCCAGGGTATATTACAGCCATGGTAAACCATACCCAGGGTAGATCACAACAAGGGTAGATCACACCCAGGGTATATTACAGCCATGGTAAACCACACCCAGGGTAGATCACAATGCACTATGACCGTACTAGCTAACCATAAATGTAATCAAGGCTCTAGATTCCTTTTCCTCTTTCACCCATCACAAAAGAAAAATATTTTAACATTTCTAGATAAATATTCTCATCAGTATTTGTTAAAATGGCTTCAGAATAAATATACATAACCAATCTACGCACATTTATATGTTAGATATGTATTGTAGATGTTTATCTTAGATGTCAGTATATTAGATATGTTAATGTGTGTTTTAGATATAGATAATGAGTTAATGTTTATGTTAGAAATGTTTGCAGTGTTAAACGATTCTTTTGATAATGCTGGGGGAAGCGCTTAACCCGTAGGGGTCATATAGCGAGTGGGAAACAGGTGATCAAGTTTTAAACGGGTTCAAAATCATATCACTAGAATCAAGAAACCCCCATCTCTCCCATCCCCATAATCCCATCAAGGTCTCTACCTCTCCCAACCCCATCTCTCACCCCATCAAGGCACCTTACCCCATCGCTCTCTCACCCTTGGATCAAGAGCCTTTCGCAAGCATCGAGGAACTCTTACCCTGGTATTAAGAACCACTCACCAGCATCATGGAACTTTTTAGTTTCAAGAGCCCCTCAACAACATCAAGGTGTTATTACCACGGCATTAAGAGCCCCCCTCACCAGCATTAAGGCGTTCTTAACCTAATATCAAGAACCCCTCGTCAACATCAAGGCACTCTTACTCTCGCATGATCCCCTCATCTACATCAAGACACTCTTACCCTCACATCAAGAGCCCTCATCAACATCAAGGAACACTCTCCCTTCTCCACAAAGAACTATCATCTAAAAGGTTTTAAAAATAAAGAAAATAATTGTGCAACACGCTTGCAATGTAGGAATGTTGCAACATGTTGTGTAATATGTAGTATTACTGAGAAGTGAATATTACAGTGTCAGAGGAGTGTATTGTGTTAGAGGTTTGTATTGTAATATTACAGTGTTAGAAGCTTGTATTGTAATATTACAGTGTTAGAAGCTTGTATTGTAATATTACAGTGTTAGAAGTTTGTATTGTAATATTACAGTGTTAGAAATTTGTATTGTAATATTAGTGTTAGAAGTTTGTATTGTAATATTACAGTGTTAGAAGTTTGTATTGTAATATTACAGTGTTAGAAGTTTGTATTGTAATATTACAGTGTTAGAAGTTTGTATTGTAATATTACAGTGTTAGAAGTTTGTATTGTAATATTACAGTGTTAGAAGTTTGTATTGTAATATTCAGTGTTGGGAAGTTTGTATTGTAATTTTTACAGTGTTAGAAGTTTGTATTGTAATATTACAGTGTTAGAAGTGTGTATTGTAATATTACAGTGTTAGAAGTGTGTATTGTAATATTACAGTGTTAGAAGTTTGTATTGTAATATTACAGTGTTAGAAGTTGTGTATTTTTAATATTACGTGTTAGAAGTTTGATTGTAATATTCAGTGTTAGAAGTTTGTTTTTGTAATTATTACGTGTTAAAGTTTGTATTGTAATATTCAGTGTTAGAAGTGTGTACTGAAATATTACAGGTTAGAAGTGTGTTATTGTAATTATTACAGTGTTAGAAATGTGTATTGTAATATTACAGTGTTAGAAATGTGTATTGTAATATTACAGTATTAGAAATGTGTATTGTAATATTACAGTATTAGAAGTGTGTATTGTAATATTACAGTGTTAGAAGTGTGTATTGTAATATTACAGTGTTAGAAGTGAGTATTGTAATATTACAGTGTTAGAAGTTTGTATTGTAATATTACAGTGTCAGAAATTTGTTTTGTAATATTACAGTGCCACAGGAGTGTAATGTGCTAGAAGTTTGTATTGTAATATTACAGTGTTAGAAGTTTGTATTGTAATATTACAGTTTTAGAAGTTTGTATTGTAATATTACAGTTAGGAGTGCATTGTGTTAGAAGTTTGTATTGTAATATAACAGTGTCAGAGGAGAGTATTGTGTTAGTAGTTTGTATTGTAATATTACAGTTAGAAGTTTGTATTGTAATATTACAGTTAGAAGTTTGTATTGTAATATTACAGTGTTAGAAGTTTGTATTGTAATATTACAGTGTAAGAAGATTGTATTGTAATATTACAGTGTAAGAAGATTGTATTGTAATATTACAGTGTAAGAAGTTTGTATTGTAATATTACAGTGTCAGAGGAGAGTATTGTGTTAGAAGTTTGTATTGTAATATTACAGTGTTAGAAGTGTGTATTGTAATATTACAGTGTTAGAAGTTTGTATTGTAATATTACAGTGTAAGAAGATTGTATTGTAATATTACAGTGTAAGAAGATTATATTGTAATATTACAGTGTAAGAAGTTTGTATTGTAATATTACAGTGTAAGAAGTTTGTATTGTAATATTAGTGTTAGAGGAGTGTAGTGTGTTAGAAGTTTGTATTGTAATATTACAGTGTCAGAGGAGAGTATTGTGTTAGAAGTTTGTATTGTAATATTACAGTGTTAGAAGTTTGTATTGTAATATTACAGTGTTAGAAGTTTGTATTGTAATATTACAGTGTTAGAAGTTTGTATTGTAATATTACAGTGTTAGAAGTTTGTATTGTAATATTACAGTTTTTGATGTTTGTTATTGTAATATTACAGTGTTAGAAGTTTGTATTGTAATATTTACAGTGTTAGAAGTTTGTATTGTATATTACAGTGTTAGAAGTTTGTATTGTAATATTACAGTGTTAGAAATTTGTATTGTAATATTACAGTGTTAGAAATTTGTATTGTAATATTATAGTGTTAGAAATTTGTATTGTAATATTACAGTGTTATAAGTTTGTATTGTAATATTACAGTGATAGAAGTGTGTATTGTACTATTACAGTGTTAGAAGTGTGTTTTGGGAAATTTATTACAGTGTTAGAAGTGTGTATTGTAATATTACAGTGTTAGAAGTGTGTATTGTAATATTACAGTGTTAGAAGTGTGTATTGTAATATTACAGTGTCAGAGGAGTGTATTGTGCTAGAAGTTTGTATTGTAATATTACAGTGTTAGAAGTTTGTATTGTAATATTACAGTGTCAGAGGAGAGTATTGTGTTAGAAGTTTGTATTGTAATATTGCAGTGTCAGAGGAGAGTATTGTGTTAGAAGTTTGTATTGTAATATTACAGTGTCAGAGGAGAGTATTGTGTTAGAAGTTTGTATTGTAATATTAGAGTGTCAGAGGAGAGTAATGTGTTAGAAGCTTGTATTGTAATATTACAGTGTGAGAGGAGAGTATTGTGTTAGAAGTTTGGATTGTATATTACAGTTAAAAGTTTGTTATTGTAATATTACATTTTGAAAGAAGTTTGTATTGTAATATTACAGTGTTTAGAGGAGTGTATTGTGTTAGAAGTTTGTATTGTAATTATTACAGTTGTTAGAGGAGTGTATGTGTTAGAAGTTTGTATTGTAATATTT